GGGGGCTTCCTTAGAAAACCAACCTTAGGAGTCTCACTGCAGCCCCTCCCACACTCCTGCAGGAGACCCTGGCCTTACTCCCTGTTCCCTCCGCTCATGGTCCTTCCTCCTTCCCTTGGTACAGACTGGGAAGGAGAGCCCGAGCTATGTCTGTAACTCCCATCAATGCCTTTAGTTGGGTGCCTGGAAGCCATTAGGGGTCTGGGTAGTGGCTGCCCTGCCCTTTCTCAACAGACTTGGATTCTTGGAAGGAACCTAGTGTTTAGCCCCCTCTCCTCTGAGCCCCAGGCCAGACCAGGTAGTTCCCAGACTTGTGAAAGTCACCCCCTCTCTATCACCACCCCAGTTTAGAGGCTGCAGTAGGAAGAACCTAGGAGACCAAGCCAGGCTCTCTCCCCTCCCCATTCCCAGCCCAGGTCCTGGAGGAGCTGCGGGCTGGCATCCGGGTTTCCTGCCTCCTCCCCCTCCCCTGCATGCTCTCAAAATGTTTTTCTTTTCCAAGAACTTCTCCATGTGGAGCGAGGCCAGGAAAATAGAGAAAGGAGGAGTGTGTCTGTCTGTGTGCTTGTGTGTGGATGTGAGTGTATGTATCTGCTGATCCTAGGGAGGAGTGTGTATCTTTGCATGTCAATGTGTTAGCCTGTACATGTTTCAGGTGTGTCTGAGACTCCTTAGCTGCAGGTGAGTGTCTCTGCGTAGTTCTGTAGCTGGGTGTGCTATGGGTTCATGTTGTAGCATATGGGCGTCTGCCCACAGGCCTTTGTGTCTGTGTTTATATAAGGGATGTCTGCTTGCACAAATGTCTGGAATGCACGTGGACTTCAAGGCCTGCCACCTCGTTGCACAGCCTAAGAAACTGAGTCACTGCAAGGGCACTTGGTCTGCCAAGGGTCCCATGGGCAGTTGATGGTTATGCAGAGCTGACGCCCAGATCTGTATAGTTGCTTTTGTCTATAGACTTTTGTCTATGCAGGCGTTGCTGGGGTTGAGACATTTATGTCTGGGCTGGGAGCAGATAACACTCAGAAGTGAAAATGCAAATTCCTAGCCTGCACCAACTAAACAGGACTTTGGGGGAAAGGGAGATGGAGGGCTTTATTGTTGTTGTTGTTATGTGCAAGGTGCAGTCGAGTCAAGTCAGCTCTGATTCCATAACCACCCTGTATAGGGTTTCTGAGGAGCAGCTGGTGAGTCTGAACCACCAACCTTGCATATTGCAAGTAAGTGTCAGTGAATCTGAAGGAACCTCCCCTTTCAGAAGCACTGGTCTACTGCAGCCAGTGCTCCACTGCTGTTTACAGGGAGCGTGAGAGCAAAGTCTCAGTGGAGTATATTTCAGGAGAATGGAGGGAAGCTAAGGGGTTGGCCTTACACCTTACAAGGATACCAGAGGATGCCTCATTGTTCCCAGAAGAAAGCAGGGAGGCTGAGGAAGTTCTCTTTGAGCTGCTTCTATTTTGTATGTGAAATAGAGAGGGCAAGATTTGCCCAGTGAGAGAGTAAACAGACCCCAGGCAATGAGCAACCAGGTGACTCAATGGCCATGAATTTAAAATGGCCAACACTGTGGAGTAAAAACCTGGAATGCCTGGCTGGCTGTCCAGGTGATGGGAAGAGTGGGCAGATGGGTGGAGGTGACCAGGGTTGGCACTTTGCATGAAGCAAGAACCAGAGAGAGGGGCAGAGGCAGGGAGGATGTTTGCAAGGAAGAGATGAGGACCATGGAATGTGAGCTAGGTACTGAGAAAAGGGACATGGAGTGCACGTGGGGGCAGTGAACAGATGGCGGGATTGTGGGGGGGTTTAGCCCCTTTTGTGAATGAGAATTTTGGGAGTTGGAGCAAGCTAAGAATTGACACTAGATAGGGGTCACAGCTGTTGCTGATGACAAAGGGTGTGACCACTGCATGCTCAGGTTTGCATATTGAAAACTCATTCTGACTGCTGCTACTGAGAATGGATTTAAAGGAGTCAAGAGCATAAGTGTGGAGCATGGTGGTTGCAGTCACCCACCAGGAAGATGATGGTGGTGGTGGCAGTGGCTTCAACAGGTTAATGGCTGTGGAAGGAGAGGGTGGGTCCAGTCAGGTGACAGACTTGGTAGGGTAGAGGAGAAGCTGGCCGGTTCCAGGGTGTCCCCCACAACTTGAAGGAGTGAGGAAGTACCATACCCCTTCTTTGGTCTTCCAGAAGAAGGAGTTGTGGATGGAGGAAGATGGCAGGTTCCGTTTTCACCAAGATGAGTCTAAGGTGGCACAATCTGATGGGAGGTCGGGGAGCTCTGGAGGACAATCTGGGCTGGAGTGAGAGACTTGGGCCCGCAGCGGTTGTTAGCTTTGGGGAGGGCAAGATGACTCAGGCTGAGGGCAGCTTGAGAGAAGGATCTAGATGATGCTAACACTCCAGGCTTGTGCCTGGGGAGCCCACCAGGGAGGCTGCTGAGGGAGAGGGAGAGCCAGAGTGTGAGGTATCCTGGAGGAAATTCAAAACAGCAGGAGTGGTAGACAGTTCCAGAACGATAGAGGGTGTACTGGCCAGAACTAAACTGTGCCCACTGAGGAGGCCAGAAGCCAGCCTGTGTGGGCTGAAGGCAAGGGAGGTGAGCAGAACGGAGACAGTGAGTAAGTCAGGACCACTCTGGGGAAGATGGGCCTTCAAGGGAAAGAAAGAAGATAAGAAAAGGCAAGTGTCAGGAGAGACATCAGCAGGGATAAGGCACTGTCGGGGAGAGCTGGGACCCATGGAGGGAGAACTCCTCTGTCCTCTTGAGGCAGAACAGAAAGGGAAAGCCAATCTGACAGTGTCTTAGTTACCTGTTGTTGTTGTTGTTAAGCCCCGTTGACTGGTTTCCAAGGAGCAGCTGGTTAGTTACTTAGTGCTGCTATAAAAGAAATACCATAAGTGGATGACTTCAACAAACAGAAATTTATTCTCTCAGAGTTTAGGAGGCTAGAAGCCCAAATTCATGGAGCCAGCTCTGGGGGAAGGCTTTCTCTCTGTGTGGCCTCTCAGCTTAGGAGGAAGATCTAGCATTCCTTTGAGATCTCGTGTCTTCCCCTGGATCTCGGAGGCTCCCAGTGCAGGGACTCTGGGTCCAGGATGAAGTCTGCTCCAGGTTCTTCTTTCTTGGTGGTAGCGGGTTCCTCTTTCTCTCTTCTCACTTCTCTCCTTTTATCTTTTGTAAGATACAGTATGTTGCAGACCACACCTCAGGAAAACTCCCCTTCATTGGATCAGGGCCCTGAGGGGACTAAGCATGTTGCGTCCCATCCTAGAAGTTCTAGGGTGGCACTGTAAGATAAGCACTGGATGGCTAACTGCAAGGTCAGTGGCTCAAACCCACCAGCCGCTCATCAAAAACCTTATAGAGGGTCACTGTGAGTCAAACCCAGCTCAAGGGCACTCAACAACAACAACCCATCCTTAATTCTTTTACAACTGATTGGGTTATCACACTAGATCACACCATGGGGGATTATTTCATAACTGCCACATCCAAGAATCATGGACCAGACAAGTTGACACGTATCTCAGAGGGGAAGGGGGACACAATTCAATCCATGATAGCCTCCCCCATTTACTGCCAACTATGACATCAGATCATCTGCTGAGTGATGGAGTTTGAGACTAGACAGAGGTGATGTTTGAAGTAATTGTTGTGGAAAATGAGAGCGTGAGCTGACAGACAGAGCATGAACCAGGTAGTGTTGGGAGTTCCAGTAGTCAACATCACTGCCCAGATGAGCCTTAGGCTGATGTGAGGGTCTGAGGGCCAGGGACTCAAGTGAATGGGGGAGAAAGGGCTTGATCTCCTGAGGGGCTGCTGGTCAGCCTGAGGCCACAGGACAGGACTGACCAAAATAGAGAAAGAGTGGTGCAGGTTGAGAACAGCAAGGGACATCTGTTTTACTTATTTTAAAGGGGGATGTGGCCCATAAATGGCAGAGGGGAGTGCTGAGATGAAATCCAGGAGCCAGGGAGAGAAGATGTGTGCTGTGGGTGAGGGGGTCATGGAGGGACTGGCTCTAGCAGGGAAGCAGTGCACCGTCCCTCCTGTCTAATAGAGACTGGTTCATTTCCAGCATATCACCAGTTGATGTTGTTGTTATGTGCTATGGAGTTGGTTCCAACTCATAGCGACCCTGTAAAGCGTTTCTGAGGCTGTAAATCTTTACAGGAGCAGAAAGCCTCATCTGTAAATCTTTACAGGAACAACTGGTAGTTTCGAACTGCTGATCGTGAGATTAGCAGCCTGATTCGTAACCACTACGTGCATGGTGACAAATCCTCCCCAATCTGATAGGGACTCAGATATCTGGATCAACTCAGGGACTTTAACCTCACTGAGGGTTCGTTTCCTCTTCAGTGAATGGTGATAATAATTTCCCTCAAGTCTGTTGAGAGAAATCAATGAGATAAAGTACATGAAGGTCTGGACTCGGTGCCTGGTCTGTCGTCAGCCCTTCACCAGATGCCACTGTCATCATCATATGCTGGAGTGAACCAGTGGCCAGGACCCAGCCCCTGCCCTGAGCAAACTCACTGGGGATGGAGAACAAACATGGACCCAGGTAAATGGTACAGCGAGGTTAGTGCCCTGATGGAGACAAAGGCAGGGGCTGGCAGGCCTGGCCTGAGGTGCTCCAAGAAGACTTCTAGGAGGAGGTGAGATCTCAGATGACCCAAGGCAGGGAGGGGTCTCTTGGCAGCAGGCTGATGGAAGCAGAAACAGCATCCTGTGTTAGGGATGGGGTAGTAGCAAACCTTTCAATGAGGGTGATGGAAGGTCAAGGATAGCCAAGCAAGGTTTCAGGTCAGCCAGTGCTACTACCGCAAGCTGGAGGGGGCTACAGATTCATCACAGTCCAGTCGCACAGGGGTTCTGAAGCACACCACTTCCTCTCCTCCACACCGTGCCGACTGCCTGTTCCATCCTTTGCATGGTGGCTATTCTAGACTGTGGCTACAGGCTAATTAATAATGGTTCCGTTCTCCCACAGGTCCAAGAAGACGACCCCCACCCAGTGGCCCGGAGAACCGGGGTCACAGGGTCCACCATGCACATTGGTATGCCATCTCCCACATGTCCCGGGCACCTCCCCTGAGCCCTGCCAGGAAGGAGTTCAAGCACAGAGCTCGCCACCCTCCCACCCAGCTGCACCATGAGCCACGGACCAAGTCCCCGGATGACCGAGTCCCCGCAGCTATCCAAGGGTAGTCTCTTGACCATCCTTGGCAGCCCGTCGTCGCCAGAGCGCATGGGACTGGCCGACTCGCTACCGCCCACACCGCCCAGCGGCACGCCTTCGCCGGGCCCGCCGCCGGCGCTTCTCCTGCCACCGGCACCCACGCTGCTGGCCGACGGGGACTGGGAAAGCCGTGAGGAGCTGCGGCTGCGGGAGCTGGAGGAGGCTCGGGCGCGGGCGGCACAGATGGAGAAGACCATGCGCTGGTGGTCGGATTGCACCGCTAACTGGCGCGAAAAATGGAGCAAGGTTCGCGCAGAGCGCAATCGCGCGCGCGAGGAGGTGCGCCAGCTGCGCCAGCGCCTGGACGCGCTAACCAAGGAGCTGGCTGGTGCTCGGCGTGAGCGCCAGGAGGCGCAGGGTGAGTGCGAGGCGCGAGGCCGCGAGCTGGCGCGGCTGCGGGGCGCCCAGGGAGCTGCAGACCGAACGTCCGAAGGTCCTGAACCCGAGCAGGAGCCAGAGCCCGTACGCGACGTCGTGTCGGAGATGCCACCAGGCGGCCAGGTGCGGTGGTATAGGGCAGGGCTACCAGGCAGAGGCTGGGTTGCTGACCAGGAGGGGGTGGAGCTCTGCTTGGCCGGGGCTGCTGGGTAGGGCTTTTCCTCTGGGTCTCAGAAGCAAACAGGATCTGTTGACGTGGGCAGAAGTGGAGTCTCGGAATTCAGAAAGTAGCCAGTCAGAACTGGATCTCCTGGGAGGTTTCAATCTTCTGGGTCTGACTCTGCCTCACAGAGACCCACAGGGCAGAGAGACCCCAGTTCCATGGCATCTCCACTTCCACCTGGATCCATGGCACTACCCCCCTTGAGCAGGAGAATGAACAGGATTTGCCCGGGGAGCATCAAGTTAATGGCACACCAGAATCCAGCCCTTCAACTTGAATCTGGACAAAAACTTTAGAGAGGGGGCTTCACAGAAGCTTACCTGGAAGGGACCACATTGAAGCTGGGACTAGGGGAATGAGGACGATTAGCCTGAGGAGTTCCAGGTGCTGGACACATACTAGTGACAGCTACCCACATTCAGTAGATGCCTTCACAGAGCTCAGAGTTGTTGGAGTGGAGAGAGAGTGGACTTGATCTTAGTTCAGCCTCACTTAGTACTTAGCGAAGGTGATCCTCACAGCCACCCTGTGAGGAATCTGCTTTATGAATGAGGACACAGGCTCAGAGAGGTTAAGTACCAAGGTATACAGTTGATGATGAGGAACTGGGTTTTAACCCAGTCAGTCTGCCTCAGAGTCCATGGTGGAGTGTTACTGGTAGGTCTGGGGGTAGCCTCCTGTGAGCCAGCAGGCTGTCCCTAAAAGCTGCCTTGGAGCAGAGTCTAAGTTCAGGGTTCCCCCCACCCCAGCCAAGACCCAGAGGTCCCAGCTCCCCCAGCTAAGTCTGCCCAACCCCTTCTCCACTGTAGACCAGAGTGGGCACTGCAGCCTCCTGCAGGCTGAAGGCCCTTCGCCACTTGGCTTTTCTCGTGTTCGAAGGTGGCATTCAATTATCTCATTTGGAGGCAAAGAATAAGAGACCCATCAGCCAACTTCATGGTGCTGTTTATGAACAAGAGTTCTAAGAAATTTGAAGTTTAAAAATCACTCTTTTAATTACGTTGTTGTTGCTAAGTGCTGTCAAGTTAGTTCCAACTCAGCGACCCCATATAGGGTTTCTGAGGAACGGCTGGTACAGTCCAACGCATCAACCCCCAGCGTCACACCAGGACTCCTTTAATTACATAGGTACATCAATTATAAATACATCCAGTGAGATGGAAAAATCATGACGTTTGTTCCATCCATTACTAGGCTATAAGAGTATATCATGTTTTCAATATGTTGTTTGTATTAGAATCGACAGATAAGTGTAACTGAGAAAAAAAATTATCAACAGTTTTTCCCATCCATAAACAGGAATTGTTGAGGCTTTTGTATAATTGCAAAGTACTCTTCTTCTTACCTGGCTGATAATATTTCTCTCCCCCTACCCCTTTGTCCTGTCCCTTTCTAGTTGTCAGTCACATTGGGGGGCTGGTATGTGCCATGGTGGAAGCCCTAGGCTTACAGTCTGAGTTTGTACTGCAACCCATCCACTCCTGAGTTCTGTGACCTGAAGCAACCCCTTCTCCCCGTGTGTCCCCGTGTGGGAGAGAGAATTTAGACCAGGTAGCATCCATCGACACTCTGAGATGCAGAAGCAGAAGTTTACTTTCAGGACCCCAAAGGGCCACCATCCAGTCCAAACAGGTTGAAACCAAGGGCCTGACTGGGAAGAGACTCATCTGGAAAAGCCAGGGGGGAGCCAGGCAGGGACAGAGGGGAAAGGGAGGCTGAGGGGGCCCAGCTGCAGGTTACTGTTTCCGTCTTTGTTTTGAGAAGCTGGTTCTACCTCCCTGTGCATATCTGCCACGCTACTAATCACTCTTGAAAGTGGCATCATGGAGTTGGAATTTCCACTGAAGAATTCTAATCCTTGTTTATAGAAGGCCGTGCTCTAGCATTCAGTCCCACCATGTTATTATTCTACTGTCTGTTTGCATATTGCCAGTGGCAGGCAACTCACCACTTCTCAGGGGAAGCTGAGGATACAGGGAATGTTTGTGACTGACTCTGAGTGCAGCTCTGGGGCCTAGAGGGAGGTATGTCCTTTCCTCTTCAGAGATGGCGAGGTAGCAGGGGAATCTGAGCCCCATTCACTTACTGGTGGCTGCACCTTCTACAATGCTTGAATTAAATCTTCCCCATCGCATGCTCCTTGGGGGACCCAACCATTTGCCTTTCTTCCTTGTTCAGATCTCTTGTCATACTTAGTCCAGAGGGGTTAGGTGACTTGCTCAAGGTCTCCCAGCACACTGACTTCAGGACCTGAGGGACAAGGGGGAGGGCATGAGGAAGGCCAGCAGGTGGCCTCTGGTCCAGCTTCCACCTGGGTCCCTGCAGGAGCTGGAACTGGTGGAGAACCTGCTGAAGAGCAGACCAGAGGAGCTCGAGGGCTGCTGGGAGACACGCAGCCTAAGGGCCGGGGGCCCACGGAGCAGCTCAGGCCGTCAGGAGCGCAGCCGGCTGCCCTGGGAGGACACCACCACCACTGAAGAGGACACTTCCAAAGTGACCGCCCTCCGGCTACGGCTGGATGAGTCCCAGAAGGTGCTGCTTAAGGAGCGCGAGTGAGTCTCAGGAGATGGGTGGGGCCAGGAGCGGGTCCAAGGCATGCTGGGGCATCCTCAGAATCCACAATGACAGTGGCTGTTTTAGACTAGGAGACTCAAAAGGTTAAAAGGGCTGTGTATACTTCAGTCCTGGGACTTTAAGCAGTGATGCTCCACCCAGAGGACCCAATGCAAGTCATCAGTTATTCACATAGTGTGTATGAAGCAACTGCTCTGGGCCAGGCACTGTGCTTGGCTCTAAAGATGCAGCCATAAATAGGATATAAATCCCTACCCTTGGAGCTAGTGCCCTAGTTGAATTCAACCAGTTGGCGAGAGTGGAGATAGGTTTCATGTTGTTGTTGTTAAGTGCCTCCGAGTCAGTTCCAACCCATAGCGACTCTGTATAGGGTTTCTTTGTAGCGGCTAGTGAGTTTGAACCACTAACATCGAGGTTCAAACTGACCTTACGGTACAGTGCGTTATCCTGTTGTGCCATGCCAGGGGCCATAGGTAATGGTGAAAGCAGGGAAGGGAGTGTCTCAGTTCTCTGGTGCTGCTATAACAGAAATTCTACAAATGAATGACTTTAACAAATAGAAATTTATTTTCTCACAGTTTGGGGCCTAGAAGTGCCACCAACAGGGGAGGCTTTCTGTGTCCTGTCGGGGGGAAGTCCTACTCTCCATCGCTTTAGCATCCTTCTTCTTGTCCCTTGGATATCTCCACGTGGCATCTGTCTTTTACGCACTCGGGCATGCTTGCGTCTGTGCCTGGTCTTCTCTTACAACACTGAAACTGAGTGGTTTCAGACATACCCTATACTGATCCGGCCTCCTTAACATAACCAAGGGAACACTGTTCCCAGAGGGAATGACAGCCACAAGCACAGGGGGACATAATTTTGGGTGGGGGGACACAATTCCCATTTGTACCTGGAGTTAGATTTGGGAAGTGTTGGGTTTGAAGTCGGGGAAGGCAGCTGGATACTTTAGTGAATTTGCAAGGCATGTCTGGGCTGAAGATAAAAATATAATAAACCAGCAGCAGAGAGATGGTGCTGAGAGACTGGGAGCCAGGGGTTGGTTGAGATCGGGGGAGTGAATACAGATAAGGAAGAAGGGAAGCCCTGGAAACCCCCCAAAGTTTACAGGTCAGTGAGAGGAGGAAGCAGCAAGGGAATCCAGGAGAGGACTGTCCTGGAGGACAAACCACACTGCTCATGGAGGAAGGGGTGGTGGCCGGCTAAGTCCTGTCAGAGGAAGATGGAGCACTCAGCGTTGAGTTGAGAACAGAAAGGTCTCCAATGAGCAGGCACAAGGCTGTTGATAAGGAATGTTCCCCTAGGCTACCCAGAAATTAAATGTGTGCCTGCACACACATATATTTTTCAGCATCATGCCCCAACTGGAATATATGAGGGTAAGTTAAAAAGTATTCTTACAAAATCCTAGAAACCTTTATTAAACAAAAATATCAAAATGAGAAGCTAGCTATTGTTTCTCAGCATATCCTCCATCTTAGTCTATATACACTTCAAAATACCGTATTTCCATCTCTAGTGGTTACGAATCGGGCTGTGAACCTTAAGGTCAGCGGTTCGAAACTACCAGCCGCTCCACGGGAGAAAGATGAGGCTTTCTACTCCCGTAAAGATTTACACCCTCAGAAACCCTGTACAGGGTCGCTATGGGTTGGAACCGACTCGACGGCACTTAACAACAACAACAAACCTTCCCCTAAGGAGCCCTGGTGACGCTGTAGGATAAGCACTGGACTGCTAACCACAAAGTCGGCAGTTCAAACCCACTAGCTGCTCCACAGGAGAAAGATGAAGCTTCCTGCTCCCCTAAAGATTTATGGCCTTAGAAACCCTATACAGGGTCACCGCTATGAGTCAGCAGTGGGGATTCTTCCCCAGAGAGTTCTGTGCCCTTTGATGTACACCACGGCAAAATGGCAGTTTTAACATCCTCAAGATACTCAAACCGTGTTCCTTTTAAATGTTCTTGGATTTGGGGAACAGAAAGAAGTCTGAAAGGGCAAGTTCAAAGCTGTGGGGGGGATAAAGTAAGGTTTCCCAGTGAAAATCTCACAGGACAGCCCTTACTACCCTCAAAGAATAGACAGATGCATTATTATCATGAGGGAAAACAATTTCTTGAACCAACTTTCCTGGCTTGTTTCTCACCAATGCAGTTTTCCGTTTTCTTAAAGCTTCTTTCTAATCAGTCTCTGTGATTTCCCAAGTTCATTTGAGAAAATCTACCAAGACGACCCCTTGGGAATCCCAGATACCAATCACCATACTTTCTGAGCTGACCTCTCTGGCCTGTGTTTAACTGACCCAGCAGATCTCCTCAGAAGTCATTGTTTTGATTGGGCTCTTATTCTAAGACACCCTAACAAAACTAAAGCAACGTATTATTGAGAGAACTTGTCTTCAGCCATGCCCTGATCACAGACACATGTTGAAACGCTGTGTTTGGAATAAACCCATACATGAACTGGAACCCCAGTAGCAATACTTTTTGGCTTATCCTAAAGGAGCTCTGGTAGTGTAGTGGTTACGAATCGGGCTGCGAACCTTAAGGTCAGCGGTTCGAAACTACCTGTCGCTCCGCGGGAGAAAGATGAGGCTTTCTACTCCCGTAAAGATTTACACCCTCGGAAACCCTGTACGGGGTCGCTATGGGTCGGAACCGACTCGACGGCACTTAACAACAACAACAACAATAGAGTTGCAGGAGCCCTGGTGTGGCGCTGTGGGATAATGCACCAGACCACAAGGTCAGCAGTTCAAATCCACTAGCCGCTCCTCGGAAACCCTGTACAGGGTTGCTGTGAGTCGGAACCGACTTGGCAGTACTTTACAGCAACAATACAATAGAAACATAAAGGAAGCAATCTTTAATACAGTATATGTGTGGAAATGCTCAGGCACAAGCTCCGCTAGAAGCAATGGTGACAGTCTCGACCTTGTACCTTTATGTGGTGTGGTAGTGTATGCTGCGTTACCTCGGGCTGCCACAACGAACACCACTACACACTGAGTGGCCCTCAGACAACAGAAATGTATTGTCTTGCAGTTTTGGCAGCTGGACGTCCTATATCAGGATGTCATCAGGGCTTCGGTGTCTGAGGGCTTTCTCCCTCCTCCTATCACCTGGGCCCTGGTGGTTTCTTGGCTTGTAGATAAAGTGTCTGCCTCTGTCTTTTCATGACCATCCTCCTTTAGTGTCTCTGGCTGTGTCTCTGCTCCCCCTTGTATATAGACACCAGTCCTATTGGATATGGGCCACCCTACTCCAACATGACCTCACCATACCTCAGCCAACAACGTCTCGAAAGATCCTACATCCAAACAAGGTCACATCCACAGGCACTGAGGGTTAGACCACAACACATCTTTTTGAGGGCCACAGTTCAACTCATAACAGATAGTGATGATGATGATGATTACTATCTTAGGCCCAGTTTCCTAGAGAAGCAAAACAGTGAAACATATATGTATATAAAGAGAGAGACATGTGTTATCAAGAAAATGGCTTACAAAGTTGCAGAATCCCAGGCCCCCAGCAGAAGACAGAGATCCTTTTCACATGATCATTATATTGGGAGCGGGCCACACCCCCAAGGAAGCATCCCTTCACTTGATTGTCTGTTCATAGCCACTCATCAGGGTTAACTATGCCTGTATCATGTTCCATCACCACGGGAATAAGCACATCTTAAGTGCTAAACCATTGGAAATCCTGGCCTAGTCAGATTGACGTAGAGCCCTAACAATTACAATGACGGTGATAAGCAAATACTCCCAGAGCACATGCTCTGAGTCAGGCGCCGTGCTAAGGGCTTTCCATGTTTGTCCTCATTTAAGTCACTTCACAGGACAGCTACAGAGGCAGCTGGGGCCATATGCGGAGTTGGCAATTCGAATGTTGAATGATGTCGCAGTGGGTGGGGAGATTTCCTGAGAGCCAGCCAGACTCTTGTACGGTTCTGAACAAAGCAGACTGCAGTCTTCCCTCTGAGTGTGCAGGCCTTCTTACCCTGGAGAAGACTGCTTGTGAAAACGCTAACGGTGCCTGTGTTCTGTGTCAGCCAGAGGGAGGCTTGGCCTGGGAATATCTAATGGACAGAATGCAGGGTAATTCCTAAACGAATGGGATGTCCTGGGGGTTGTAGGCTGTTGGTACCCCCTTCCCATTCAATGATCTCCTAATCATTGTGACATCCCAAAATGTCCCCACAAATTTCTTATGTGCCTCCTAGCAGGTGGCATTACCCCCTCCAAGGTCCCTGTGGAATATTAGAGTCTCAAGGAGACCAGGTGGAGTGGGTGGTGACGATACACACAGCTGGGGGCTGCACACCTCGTGTGTCCTAGGGACAGGCACTGAGCTCCTCGGCTGTGGCATCTCATTCATGTTTAAGGCAAAGTGCAAGGTGGGCACCATGATGGCCGGAGCCACTGGGCGGCGTTTTCCAACCTTTCTAACCATAGGACCGTGTGCTCCCACCAAGCCTGACAGGGACCACAGTATACAAAGCAGATTAGGTGGGAGCTCCACCCTGAAGATGAACCAAGGGGTCAGAAGGAGGGAAGGAGGCACTTGCCTGGAGATGCCAGGTGCCCGTGGGCTGAGCAACTATAGTTGTGAACAGTTGCTGCACCAGAAGAAATGGGAGCGAGGCACTTGCCACGGTGTGACAGCTGGGGTTTTGAATGCCAAGACAATGACTTTATAGACTAGACCAGGACAGGTGTGCCAGGCAGAGCCACCCTTAATTTGGACTCAGACTCTGAGCAGAGGACCCCTGTAATCTTACCTTTCCCCTTCTTCTCCCCCTCCCCCCAGGGATAAACTGACTCTGAGCAGGAACATTGAGAAGCTTGAGGGGGAGCTCAGCCAGTGGAAGGTCAAGTACGAGGAACTGAACAAGACCAAGCAGGAGATGCTCAAGCAAGTAAGTCCTGGAGACCAGGAGGGCTTCTCAGAGGAGGCAGCAGTATGTCGTTGCATCTCAGCATTAGGAATGGGATTGTTAGTGTTGCTGTTGTTGTGAGGTGCCCTTGAGTCACTTCCGACACATAGTGATCCTGTATAGGGGGTTTCCAAGGAGCAGCTGGTGAGCTTGAACTGCCAACCTTGTGGTTCAAACCAACTTTGCAGCCCACGGACTTGCCTTTTGGGCAAGTGGGGAACAAAGTAACCAGGCAGATACGTTCACAAACCATCAGAAGGTAAACCAGAATGAGAGGGCCGGGCCAGTCACCAGGGATGTCCTCTCTGAGAAGGTGACATTTGGGTCAAGACCTGAAAGGTTTTAAAGATGCTGTTCTGAGACGGTATAGGGGCACAGCATGTGCAAAGGGCCTGGGGAAGGAGCAAGCCTGGAGTGTGAGAGAAACTGAAGGCCAGGTGGCTGGAAAATGTAACTGAGAGAAAAAGTTTCTTCAAGAAGGGCCAGATCTCACGGGACTGTCTAGGCCAAGATGAGGGAGAGGAGTTTGAAGGCATTATTCATTGAATACCTAATGTGTGCCAGATCTCACTGAAGCCTCAAGGCAGTCAGGGAGCTGAGTTCTAACATTCCCATTTTATTGCTGAAGAAACTGAGGTTTTAGCTGGCAGAGAAGGAAGTCCTGCACTTATTAAGCAAAGGGAGCACTAAATTACGGTTGGTCCACCATTGCTGCTGCTTATGAAGGTCCTGATGTCCACCGGGGGCGTGGCCACTAGGGGGCGCAGTCACCCAGGAAAAGCCAGTCTGGATCCCCTGTTTCCAGAAGGTGAGAAGTCCACAGACCTCAGAGCTCTGCAAGCAGCCTTATCTTATATTAATTAATCTTACATTCTGGACCTGGTCTCCTATTAGAATCTCTTAGGGAACCTCTAAAATACGAAGTCTCCCCACCCTGTTGTTAAGTACCTTCAAGTCAGTTCCCACACATAGCAACCCTATATAGACTTACAGACTAGTGGGTGTGAACAACCGACCTTGTCTAGTACTTGTCCTACAGCATCACCCAGGTGTCCAGGACTCCACCCTCTGGGGATTAGGTATAAGAATCTGTCTAATTTTTTTCAAATTGTTAAGTATAATTGCTTATAAAGAAGCAACTGAAACTTGAATGTGCCATTTGGCAGGCAATTACCACGGTTCTCTTTTGGATCTGGCTTCTTTCCCTCAACGCATGTATTTCAGACTTACCCATGTGGTTGGTTGGAGCCCTAGTTTGTTATTGGGGAATCTGTATTCTTTTAAAAGACCCCAGCTATTGCTTGTGCTGCCCACCCTGCACCCTCGTACTGACCATTGTTTGGATCCACTGGATTCATTTAATCAGTGTCTGTGAGGGCTACTTTGTGCTGTAAGAGCGCCCTGGTGACAATCTCAGTGGCTAATTGAAAGGTTAACTGTTTGAATCCATCCAGTAACACTGTTGGAGAAAGCTGGCTGTCTGCTCCTATAAAGATTGTTGTTGTTAAGTGCCATCAAGTTGTTCCCATTCATAGTGACTCTGTAGAGGGTTTCCAAGGAGCAGCTGATGGGTTTGAACAGCCGACTTCAGGGTTCGCAGTCCAGTGCTGATCCTACAGTGTTGCACCAGGAATCCCCTATAAAGGTGACAGCCTAGGAAAGCCTGTGGGGATGTTGTGCTCTCTGCCAGGGAGTCACTGGGAGTTGAAATCGACTCGATAGCATCAGCAACAACACTCTGTGCTGAGGTCACGTGGGGATTCAGAAGTAGACACAGACTGAGGTCCCTGTCCTCCCAGACTTGCATTCTAGTGGGAAGTAGGATGGAGAAGACAGCCTGAGAATGTGAACAGCCCATGGTGCAGGCAGAAGGGAGGCCCGGAGCAGAGGCCCTGCTGTGGGCAGGAACTGGGAGTGTTCACGGGTTAGGCAGGAAGCCGCTGTGCCTGGAGCAGAGGTGGGCAGGTGCCCAGTTGTGTAAGGCTGAGAGACCATAGGGACAGGTTGGACTTTATCCCAAGGGCCCCAGGAGCCATCCGAGGAGTTTTCAGGGTGGGAATATGACTGAGTTGATCTTTTTGAAGCTCACTCTGGGATACTGCTGTGGCAAATGGTTGGCAGGTGGGCTTGATGGTAATGAGATGGGAGGTGAGAGACTTTGGAGGGAGCAGAAGTCTGTTGTGGATACCCTGGGGCCCATCACCTCAGCCCTGCCAGTGCCTATACCCAGGGCTGGTTTGGGGAGCATCCTGGGACCTCGTATAACCAGCCAGGCTGCATCCTTCCAGCTCAGCATCTTGAAGGAGACACACCAGGATGAGCTGGGCCGCATATCTGAGGACTTGGAGGATGAACTGGGAGCACGGTCCAGCATGGACAGGAAGATGGCTGAGCTGAGGGGAGAGGTGAGGTCACTGTGGGACTCCGGGGTCTGAACATCCTGCTCTCCCATCAGCCAGGTGTGTGCTGGGGGATACCCCAGTCCACAGGGATGGCCCTCCCCACACACAGACCAGAAGCTCCTCACGTTGCCCTGCACGCCATGCAACAAGCCCAGGTTAATTATAGCCGCTGCAGCTGGACCTGCTTCCTGGAGTCATTTCTGGCTCCAGGAGGTCGGGGAGGGGCTGTCCAGCTCAGGCCCTTCCGTGTCCCCTCTCCCCGCCCCGGACCCTTCACCTTGTCCCCACCTACTACAGATGGAGCGGCTGCAGGCAGAGAATGCAGCTGAATGGGGTCGTCGAGAGCGGCTGGAGACTGAGAAGCTGGGCCTTGAGCGGGAGAACAAGAAGCTACGGGCTCAGGTTGGGGACCTGGAGGAGGCACTGGCCCGGCGGCGGCGGCAGACCACCAGCGCTCTAGACTGTGACCTGCGGGCCAGCCAGGCTGCACTCTTCGAGAAGAACAAGGTGGGGCAGTGAGAGATTGCCCAGCCTGGCAGAGCACCTATTGTGTGTCCTGCGCTGGCCCTCAAGCGGGGGCCAGGCACCACTGAAGAAGCCACTCTGAATCCGTATGAGTGGAAGTGAGCATCCTCGAAACTGTTCTTCCTAGACATTTAGTGAGCACCTACTGTATGCTGGGCCTGGTGATAATTATGTTGTTAAATGCCGTCAAGTTGGTTCTGACCCATAGCGACCCTGTATAAGGTTTCCAAGGAGCAGTTGGTGAACTTGAACCTCCGACCTTGTGGTTCAAGCCAACCTTGCAGTCCAATGCATAAACCCACAGTGCCACACCGCAGCTGCCTTTACTGAACACCTGTTGTGTGCCAGGTCCAGTGGTAATTATTGTTGTTGTGAAGTGCTGTCAAGTTGGTTCCGACTCAGCGATCCTATATAGGGTTTCCAAGGAGCACCTGGTGAGTTTGAACCACCAACCTTGCAGTTCAAACTGGCCTTTCAGTCCAGTGCTTATCCTACAGTGCCACACCAGGACTCCAGTGGTAATTATAGTAGCTGCATTTATTGAGTACCTACTATGTGCCAGACAGAGTTTTAATGAGAGTAGCTGCATTTATTAAATACTTACTGTATGCCCAGGTCCCATGGTAGTAATAGTTGCTGCATTATACCTACTGTATTCAGGTCCTGTTGTCCCTTCACTTGCTTAATCCTCTCAGCCACCTTCTCATTCATTCAACAACTATTCATCGAGTATCTTCTGCGTGCAGGCCCTGCTCTAGGCAGCTCCCTGTGTCACAGTCACACTGATCACAGGGCTCCATGCCAAGGGTCCTAGAAAGGCTTTCATGAGCCAAGGTCTCAGGGAAGAGCGGGTGTTAATATGGTGTTGAACTGATTTGGAGGCAGAGATGGGAAGAATGTTCCAAGAGGAACAGCCTGAGCAGATGTCCCATGATGCTTTGGAGGAACAAATGTAGCTGGAAGGGAGTGAGCATAGTCATGTGATGGGAGACGAGGGCTGCCTTTGAAGAGCTTGAAGTAGGAGGAGTATGAGCAAGCTGGCATTTCCAGTGCTTACTGGTCGCTGTGTGGAAGGCGGATTTGGAAGCTGTTGCTGCTCCAGGCTGAAGGTGGTGGAGATGGAACAAGGAGGATGGACTCAGTGCCTAGCCCCATTTTACAGATGTCATCACTGAGGCAGGCATCTCCTTTGCTGGTTCTTCATCCTGTTCTCAGACCTCTTCTCCTCTCCAACACCCAGGCTCCTGCTCAGCTCATCCCCAGACCCAGTACTTGAAATCCCATGTATGCACCCAGCTCCAGATCCATCCCTTCCCGGAATTCCCGACTCTTGGCTCCAGGGTGTGTTCTGGATACACTGAATACACTGTCCATTACTGCCCATGCAGCCCTCTCACCGCACTAAATGGTACCTTTACCCTCAGCTGCTGAGCCACATTAGAGGAGTCCCTGCTTCTCTCTTCTCACCCCTCCCACCTCCAGTCCCTCTCCAGAGTCCTCTTGTCTCAAATTCCAGGTTGTGTGCTGAGTCGGCCACTTGTCTTCTCCATGCCACCACCATCATCTGTCTGGACCACTCACAACTCCTGGGCTCCCTGCCTCCTTTCTTGTCCCCGTCTTTTCTCAGCATACGGGCATCTTCTTCACACGTCCATTAGATGTATCACCCACTGTGCTCAGAGGAAAACTCAAAAGGCCTCCAGGGCCCCGCCTGTCCAGCCTGCTTCCTTGTCTCTCACATCCCCCTGCTCATTGCCCATCAACCACAGTCCCACCAAGTTTATTTCCACCCCAGGGCCTTTGCACAGACTGTGTTCTCTGTCTAGAATGCTTTTGCCATCTCACATTCCTCCTTGACTTCTTTAGGTGACCCCTCTGGCCATTTGTTCAAACTGCCAACCATCCTCACCCTGTCTCTTTTCAGTCCTGCTTCAGTGTTTTCAGAGTGGCTGTACCTACCTGACATTATGCTACTTGTCCACATGTGTGTTTATTGTCTCACCTTCAGTAGATCATGAGCTTCAGCGGGGCAGGGCTCCTGTCTAAGTCTCCTTGTATCTGCAGGCACGCTGCAGTGTTGCGAGAGGGTTTATTGAATGAAGGAGGAAGGCCAGACTTGAACCTAGCCCTCTCTGACTCCAGAGCTTAGCTCTTCACCACCCATGAACTTTGGAGACAGAAATGAGTCATTGCACATGGGGCTTCAGGTTGCCTTAAGGAGATGACGTTTCAGTGGGACCTGGAAGGGCAGGTGTTGACAGGTAGAGTTGAAAGAAAAGGCATAATAACTAGCAAGGGGGACTGTGTTAGCAAAGGCCCAGAGGGGTGAGAACATGAGGAGGGCTGGTAGAGGTCCTTGCCAGGTCAGTTAAGATAGACCCGGGCCACCCCATGGTGAATGGAAAGGTTAGCACGAACCTGTCTTTCTCACCCTCAGCCTAGAGTCCCTTGGTCCGTGTTGAGCATGTTTGTGTGAAGACTTAGAATAGGTGGAGTTAGGTCATCATGAGCTTGAGGCAGGCAAGGCAGTCTTCCTGGAGGAGGTGTTGCTATGCATTAGCCCTCCTGGGAGTCCTTCCAGGCCAGGGGGATGTGTGAGAGATTGATGTTGTAGCCTTGAGGCATTGAATGCTAATGCTGCTATTACAGACAGTAGATGGAGAGATTCTGGGAAGGGAGACATCCAGCACCCCTAGAATTAACTACCTGGCCCTCGAGGACTCCCTGGCATGGTGTCTGGTCTGATACTGGGCCTCCTAAGCCCATCTCTGCCCCCTGCAGGAGCTGGCAGACCTGAAACATGTACACAGCAAGCTGAAGAAGCAGTTCCAGGAGAAAGTGGCAGAGTTGACTCATGCCAACCGGCGGGTGGAGCAGCATGAGGCAGAGGTGAAAAAACTGCGTCTGAGAGTGGAAGAGCTCAAGAAAGAGCTGGCCCAGGCTGAGGATGAAGTAAGTACCTGCCGGGGTCCCAAGGAGGACCTTCAGACCTTGGCTGTGAGAGGAGAGGGGGCTGCAGGGTCCTCGGCGCCTGGTATGAGCCTTCCTCTCCATAGGTGTCCAGGGTAGATAGAGGGAGTGAGTGGGCAAGTAGATGAAGGAGTCCACACTTGTGGGCTGGAGGAGAGCAGGGAATGGACAGGCTGGGTGGGTGAGTCACTGATGGATGAATGGGTGGATGTGAATGGAAGAATAGAAAAATGGCTCCCTGGATGGGTGACAAGATGAGGAAGGAATAGATGGGCAGACTGAGGAGAGATGATGGGAGAGAGGGTGGATGGGTAAGGTAGCAACAGCTGTCTGATGGCTGATTAGATGAATGGATGGATGATGACGGGTGGGTGGGCAGATGGATGAATGGTGATACGGGTGTATAGAAAGATGGATGGCTGGGTGACTGAATGGAAAGATAGACAGCTGATAGATGAATGGATGGAAGAATGAACAGACAGATAAAGGAAAGGCAGATAGATACGAAGATTGTCATGTGTCTTATAGAGAGTGGAAGGATATATAGATAAACAGAGTGACCGGGTGGCTGAATAGATTCATGAATGCTGAGTAAGTGTTTCCATGGACAGATGAATATCTCTGTGGACAAATGGTCCAATGAACATATTTATAAGTATAGATGGGTACTTGAGTGCTGGAAGAATGGATGCATGAGTAGGTGTGGCTAGGAAGAGCAACAGGGATAGATAGAGACAGACAAAAGGTATGCCTTCTGAAGAAAGTGGGCCTTGCCCTTGAAGGAAAGATAAGAATTACTCTTGGAGGAGGATGTCCGCACTGAGAAATGGTAATGGGTGGTCCAGGCCAATTGCCCCAGCCCAGGATGACCCCACACTCTTGGCCTTACTCACCCCCAGCTGGATGAGGCCCACAACCAGGCACGCAAGCTACAGCGGTCACTGGATGAGCAGACAGAACAGAGCGAGAACCTGCAGGTGCAGTTGGAGCACCTGCAGTCCAGGTAGGCCGGGGAGGGCAGCGCAGGTGGGGGCCCTACAGGGAGAGGATTCACAGCTGGGCCATGGAGACAGGCCAGAGAAAATTTTCCAGGGGTGGAACCCCAAACTAGGACTAGAGGGGGAGACAGAGGAGGAGGAGGAGATCTGGCCCGGGCCTGTCCCCTCCAGGCAGGAAGGAATGGGGCCAAGGACCAGGAAATCTGGGAAGTGGGGTGCAGGAAGTGAGAGCAGCTGGAAACCCTGGAATTTTCTCCTCCAGCAGGCAGGTGGGTGGGTGATGTGGAGGCAGGAAGGACAAAGAGGCCAGGCCAAAGGAGTGAGGGTGGTGGGGAGGGCCAAGGAGTGCAGGGGAGTCATTGACAAAAAGAATAATGACCTGGGGCTACATGCCAACTGGGATCTGAGGGATTGGAGGGGGCTGGACAGCACCCATCAGCCTCGGTGAAGGAGGATGGGAGGGTCTGGAGAGCTCATCCATCACACTCCCCCTCCCTGCACCCCCTAGAACCTAGAGAAGGTTCAGAGAGCTTCAAGTCCAGGGCCCGCCCCACTTCTCATTTCAGAAGCCACAGCACTGACTAGCCTTTCTGTCCGGGCCTGCTGACTAGCCCAGCTCCGCAGTCAGATTGTCTGGTGCCGGCGAGTCCTGGCTCTGCACTTAGGAGCTGCGTGGACTTAGACCACTAACTGAACCTCTGTGTATCTGTCAGAGTGTAGGTTCTTCATCTGTAAAATGACACTGATGGTAGTTCTTACGTCTTGGTTGTTGTGAGAATTAAATGAGCGGATCCTTGGTTATGTAAAGTACTCGGCACATAATAAATGCCGATTATGTGACTTTGCACATGGGCCAGGGAGCCAGACTTGACAGTTGTGTGGCCTGGCCAGCCAAGCCTCTGTTTCCCCATCTGTCAATGAGGGTGATTGTGAGAACTACCTGGGATGTCAACCTTGGCGTGTTGTGCAGGGGCTTGGCATGGGTCCAGACAGGCTCAGTGCCTGGCTGGCTCTGCTGCTCCCACCTCTGAGCACACCCCCACCCCAAAATGCTGCTCCGCCTGCCACATTCTTTAGGAGCCATAAACTCCCAAAATGGACTAGAGGCTTTGCCCAGTCTCTCTAGGGCTTCCATCAGGAAGGGCGGAGCCCCCAGGACTGCTGCCTCGGTTTATTTTCCAACTTTTTGTGCTTTAATGTTCCGGGGACAGCTCACTAAATCACAGTGCAGTAATGGAGGCCCCCGGCCGCGCCCCTCCCTGCCTTGTTAATAATTCATGCCTTCCAGTAAAATGCAGCCAGCCAGCATTGTAACCAATGGCATGAAACCATTTGTATAAAAATTTTTTAAAGGGAAACTGAATTTGCTGTGCAAACTTTCACCTCAAGCATCATAAAATATTATTTAAAAAAATAAAAATGAAAAAATGGTGCAGCCAAGGGACCACTTGGCTGCTGTGAGGATGGGGGATGGGCATTTCCTCCACCAGCTCTTCTTAGACCCCCGTTTGCCTCATAAATTTTAACTGTAGGAATTTTAATGTGAGAAAAGAAGTGGGCCCTCAAGAGACTAAGCACTTTCTCACTGACGCTGGGAATGTGAGAGCGCCCACCACTAACCCCAGACGCTGCTCTCTGGTCTCGGCACCAAGCTTGGGTTCAGATCCCAGCAGTATGACCTGGAACCAGAACCTTCTCCTCTTTAAGCTACCTTAGTCCATTCCCAAGGCAGCTGCTTGAGTTTGGAGCCTCTAGATCAGGGGCTGCTGAGAGGGTTCTGTGAGATGAGGTGGTTTCACCTGGTGTCTGTCCCATTGCCAGCACCAGTAGCTATGGATCAAGGACCAGCAGGGCCAGACGGGAGCTCTGACACCTCCCCTTCTACCCTGCCCACCCCACAGGCTCCGAAGGCAGCAGCAGAATGCCCCCCTCTTCGGGAAGATCCGGAGTGCTCGCTTTGGTACTGAGGAGACTGGAGATGGAGCCAGTGACCTGGATGAGGATGAGGACCTGCAGATCCAAGTGGCCTAGCAACTCGAGGAGCTGGGCAAGGCTGGCCTTCAGCCACAGGCTGACCATATCCCCAGGCTGATCAACCACTCGAACTGATGTAGTTGCCTGTGCTCTGGATCAGAGCCCATCCCTGCCACAGACAACTTCCTTCTCTCCCAGGGTCTACCCCCCAGAACACCTTGGAAAGGAAGCCGCGGCCTATGCAGTATATATATTATATATATGCCCGGGGGTCCTTGGACCCGTTTGGTTTTATAAACGCAGGTCCACTCCAAGGCCCAGTCCAGGTGCCCCACCCACCTCGGGCCCTCTGCAGGAGGTGGTGGGGATGACGATGGGTGATGGGAGGCAGTCCATAATACCATCTGACAAACCCAATATTTTATAATAAATGAAGTTCATATTCTGCGGACCCCGTCCTGAGAGCATGGCAAAGACATCAGAGGTGAGAGTGTGGGTAACAGAATATGGAGTGATTTAATTAAAGAATGCATGTGAAAAGGAATAAATGAATAGGTGTCTGGGCTGCAGAATGATCTGGAACCCAGCTCCTGTGTGAGCAGGAGGAGCAAATATGAGGCTTATCTAATTTGGAGAACCGATGCTTCACTTCAACACACTCCGGCACCTGATGACCTGCATTTTAGTCTTTGCTCTGCCTCCAAGAAGTTGCTTGCCTACTCTGAACCTCATTTGTTTCCATCTGCAAATTTGATGTCTCAGAGTTACCATGATAATACACTGAGTGGAATGAATCCCAGTACTTAATAAAGGTGGCTGTTAGTTGCCATGGAGTCTGCCCCCAATTCCACCCCCAGGCCTAATGAGATGAACGCTGCTCAGTCCCACCATAGCCCTGTAATCAGTTGTGGGCGGGGCTGCTATGACCCGTAGGGCTTTCATTGGCCAATTTTCAGAGGTACATCTCCAGGTCTTTCTTCCTAGTCTAACTTAGTCTGGAAACTCCACTGAACCCCGTTCAGCTCCATAGCAGCACCCAAACCTCCACTGACATACCAGTGGTAACTGGGCCTCAGGTGCACTGGCTAGAAATTGAACGCAGTCTCCTGCATAGAAAGTGAGAATTCTACCTGCTCAACCACCACTGCACCCCCCTCAAAAAAGGTTAGTCTTTGTTAAATAACTGAAAGTGTGCCCTAGAGAGGTGGGATTCACTGGGTGGGCTCTGCCCCAGAAAGTGAAGTCCAGGTGATGTGTGGATGCAATAAATAATAGATAGCTTTCATCTAACCCTGTATATGTTTTTGGGAGCAGAGAGCCTCATCATTCTCCCAAAGAAGCAGCTAGTAGGTTTGAACCACCAACTTTGCTGTTAGCAGCCCAATGCTTAACCCACTGTATCTGTGGCACCATGTCTCCAGTCCGCTCTAGGTAGTGAAATTATGTTGTTGTTATGTGCCGTGGAGTCGGTTACGACTCATAGTGACCCTGTACAGCCCGGGTTTCCGAGGCTGTAAATCTTTACGGGAGCAGAAAGCCTCATCTTTCTCCCGCGGAACAGCTGTTAGTTTCGAACTGCTGACCTTGCGGTTCACAGCCCGATTCGCAACCACTACGCTATTATAGGCAATTTTACATTTAATTTCCAAACAGTTATAGGCAATTTTACATTTAATCTCCAAACAGTTAACCAACAAATGTGTTAAATTTGGTTGAAATGATTATTAAAAGTAGCATTTTCTAAGAACTCAAAGTTGAGGTGGTATTAAGAACACCTTGGCTTTCTGATCAAGGATGTACTGAAATGGTTCTAGCATGGGGACAGTGTCCAGGGAGGGTCTGGACTTCCAGTAGGAGCTTGCTGTTAAAGGGGTCTAAATTCAGTTGATAAAGGGATTCTCTGCTGGGGTTGGGGGCTGCACTAAAGTGCCTTTCTCCCTGTGGCCTAGTTATGAGGGACCCAGTGGGTGGCAAGCCCTGGAGGCTGAGGGGAGAAGAGGCAACTCCAGGAGCCCAGCTTGTGCTAAAACTCACTGTCACCAAGCCTGAAGTCAGTGCTAGTTAGAGTGGGGTCTGCTTTCAAGGCACCAAGGCCCCAGTCCCCATCCTGGGTACAGAGGGGTAAGGAAGGAGGAGGAGGTGACACAACCATGGGGACCCTACTTCACCATGGAGCCGGCGGAAGAGGATGGCGGGAAGACCATTTCCTGCTAGGGTCTTTCTGTTTTCTCTACCAAACAGGAAGTTGCCCCTGGAACATGCTGAAATACTGCCCTTTGACCCCCAGGAGCCAGGCCTTCACTGATAGCAGACTTCAGAGCCACCTCCCCAGCCCTGGGCTGACCTGCCATTCCCAGACACAGAGCAGACCCCATCCAGTGCAGCCAGGCCCCCCAGACTCCCTGGCACCTCTATTGAGATAGTGTTGAGCCGGGGCCTCATTCCAGGCCTCCATCTCCAGGCAGGGCTGCTCCTGAGAATGTCTGAGGAGGGGGTCCAGCCTCCACCTCCAGTGTACGAGAGAAGCCCTGGGTCTCAGGAGCAGAGGGATGGTCACAGACAGAGTGACGATTATTGGGTCCCCTTGCTCACTGCCCTCTGGGCTCCCCTTCATCTGCAGCTAGTCAGCAGAGATGTGGTCATGGCGGCCGCATTTGTTACGGCAGCATTAGTTTGGGCTCACAAGAGGTTTAAAAAGATGCTTAATGCATTGTAACAACAGCAACAGTAGTAATAAGGAGCCTGGTGCTGCTAACGGAAAGGTCGACAGTTCAACCAACCAGCTGCTTTGAGGGAGAAATATGAGGTTGCCTGATCCCCTAAAGACTTATAGTCCTGGAAACCCCTATATGTTGTTAGGTGCCCTTGAGTCGGTTCTGACTTATAGCATCCCTATACAGGGTAGCTATAAGTCGGGTCTAACTCAATGGCATTTAACAACAACAACAACTATGTGATGGCTGGAACTATGGTTGCTTTAGCATGGCCAAACCAAATGATTTCAAGGGCCTTGTACGGCTCGAGAACCAGACGCTCTATACCAGCCCTTCAAAGTTCAACGTGCTTGGCTCATTCTAGTCAAATGGCATTGTAGCCCCACCAGCTGCTCCTGGAGGACAGAGAATCTCCCAGCAGCCAGCACAAGGCCCTAGGCCTAGGCAGCATACTTAGGTGTTGAAAGAACTGAGGGAAAGCTGAAGTCAGATCTATGCACACACCCCTATTGCGATACCTGTCAGACTGGTCCTAAACCTGCCTTTCTGCTGGTCAGCTTAATCTTCCTCCTCCAGGGCAATGTGAAGTCTTTCTCTCAGGGCAGAAGGCCCAGGTCCTGGGAGCTGCAGGAGAACCTGAGGCAGTAAGACCAGGGCCCCTCCTCACAGACCTCAGTGCCCAGACAGGCTGGAGAACCAGATGGATCAGACAGCAGCCCGCCCAGCCCCTCCTCCCCTCAGGAGGAAGATGGGGGTGGGGGCTGAAATACCGGCACCCTTCACCATCCACCCAAGGCCAGCTTGCTCACTGTGATACCACCAGGCAGCCCCTCAACTTCCTTGTCTTGAATTCCATGTTCAGGTGTGAGCCCTCCACATTCCAGTCCTCCAGACAAATCTGGTATCTGACGCCCTCCTGGTTTCTGACTGGCTGTGTGTCTCCTGGCAAGCTCCTGTCCCTCTCTGGGGTTTAATTTCCCTAACTGCTTTAGTGGTGTAATAGTTAAAGTTAGCACTATAAACCTGCCCAGTGGCTCTTCAGGAAAAAGACCTAGAGACGGTGCTCTTGTAAAGAAGAACCCAACCTTCTACCACAGAGTGAATTCCGACCCATGGTTTCTGAAACTCTAAATCTTCATGGGCGCAGACAGCCTCATCTTTCTCCCGTGAAGCAGCTGGTGGTTTTGAACTGCAGACCTTGCGGTCAGCAGTGCCCAGAAAACCCTATGGGGCAGTTCTACTCTCCTAAGTGAATTAAAATAGACTCTATGAATCCGAATCGACTCAACAGCACTTACAACAAAACAAGCTCTGTAGCAGCAAGTGAGTGTCGTAAGTGTACACCATATAGCATCTCTTTCACAGTTAGTCTGTTTCTCTGGATTTCCATCCAAGAGATTTCTTTGCATCCCCTTCCAAGACCCAAGTTCTTTATCTGCCTGGGGACCCACCAGCCCCCTGGACATCTCACTGAGGCAACAAGTGGAGGAGAGGCAGAGACAGTGCCCAGGAAACCAGCTGCAACTCAGCCCGCCTCCCTGCCACCCGACTCCTCTGACTACTAATTGTAGGGTTGCAAGATGCCAGCTGCCTCCCAGGCCCCAGGCGGGTGCCTCCCAGTCCTCCTCTGGCCCCATAGGCCCAGCCGGGCTGGGGAGGGGGTGGAGGGAGGTTCTCTATGGTGCTCAGACTTCCCCTACTCTGGAAAAGTCTAAATACAAAGTCTCCCTCCCCAGTTTCCCTTTCCCCCAGGCTTCTCCCAAACGTGTCTACCCATGCCATTACACCCCTACTTAAGAACTAGTCATGGTTCCCTAGTGCTGGGCAAATCCAAGTCCCATAGCCTATCCTGGTCATAGGGTGTGCCAGGCTCTTGGCCTTGAGACCTTTTCCCTGGCCTCAGCTCCCTGATGTTCAAAATAAAGTCCTACGGAACCCTTGCCTCTCCCTCCTCGGCTGTGCAGCCTGGTCACAGAAGTGTGGCAAAACTCATTTGAGGACGTGTCTCATCTGTCTTTACCTGAACCTCGAGCTCTCTGAGGACTAGGACCAAGGTGTGGGAATCTCCCAGGAAAGGACAGAGAATTATCATTTGGGGGTTGATGTTCCTCCATGTGTCCTTTAATTTTAATCGGAACAGCCTAGCATATGGGCAAAGACAAGATGAGGAAGCTGAGGCCCAGAGAGGAAAGGACTCACTAGTAAAAGGCAGACTGGGATTGAAATCCAGAGAACTCCCAAGGCCAGGCATTTTCAGCTGCTCAGCCATGCTCAGTGCATGTACATAGAAGGAGGGAGGTGGGGAAGAAAGCACTAATGACTGACTGAACAGTGGTCATCAAC